GCATTAGGGGGAAAATGAATATCAACTTGTAAAAAAATCAGTATCAGTTTTATGTCTTCTTCCTGCTGCTTCCCTCCTGGCCTCTCCACAGTGAGGGCTGGCTCTATTGTTGAATGGCTTCATTAGCACTTTTTCTCTTTCCAAACTTCACTGTAAAACCTTCCTGCTCATTTCATCCATACTCAATGCTGTACTCCATCCAACTTACCTTCCACTTCTGAGGTTGTCACCCATTTTCAATCTGACCCTTTTGTAGTCCCTGAGTTCCTTATGAATGGGATATGCTGTAAATTATTCACCTTCAGCTGGGATAAAATAGTCCATTGAGGCCAATGGCCAGTATATCTGATTATCAGATCAAAAGGTTTTATATCACAGAGGGCATGTCTACACGTGCGTTTTAATGTGCAGTATCCTGTTTTATTGCACATTAAAGCATCACATAAACTGTTATTACACAAATGCGCAATAAAATAGGCTACTGCGCAGTAAGTGTCTCTTAATCATGCACATTCATTACTGTGCATTAAGGCAGCCTAATGCACATTTGTTTAAATAGCTCACATTGGAGGTACTAAATTAAATGCACATTAGAAAAAGTGCCTTAATGCAGGTGTAGACATGCCCAGAGTGATTAATCTTTGTTAATGTTTGTGTTTTACAACTGAAGGGCCTTAAATAGCCTAATAGTAAAATACCATATGAGCTTTTGAAAGCAATTATTGTCAGTATATATTAATTGTATATTCTGGTGGCTGTATCTTTCAGCATTACTGATGCGAACAGGCCACCTAGCTAAACTACAAAAACTGGACCTGAGTTATAACGACACTGTCTGTGACGAAGGATGGGCCACCTTCTCTCAAGACCTGGCTGAACTCAAAGAACTTTCTGAATTGGATGTCAGCCTTCGGCCATCATCATGTCGTGACTGTGGGATGTGGTTTGGCAAGTTGTTAACAGCTTTGCCTGAGATGCCGGCATTCACTGAGTTAGGGATGCAGAGGTGGGTCTTTTCAGGACCACAGCAAAAACAACTGGAGTACTTCAACCGGGATAGCACAAGGAATGTTCGGTTTGACTACTGAGGCCAGGTGTCAGTCTCTGAGAAGGCCTTTCCAAACAGCACACCAGGAACAATGTATCATGCGACTCTGCCTTGGAACACTGCCAGTTTTCATTAATAAATTCATTTGCATCTTGACTCTGGCTGTCATTCCCAGAAAGCCAGAGCACTACAAAGATGTAAATTACCATACTTTCTCACATACAGCATGCCCAAGAATACAATACACACCTTGTTTTTGAAAGGTAGAATGCAAGAAAAAATCTTTCCTTGTAGAAAGGAACTGAGCAGCAGCAGCCAGGGAGCTGAGCCAGCACATTATTCTACTCCCTGTGGATCACTGCAAATTTTTCTTTTGGTTTCACCCAGTAAGAAAGAACTTGCTTATACCATCTTTGCTGCTTATAAAGCTCACCCCAATTTTCAGCAGCTGCTTTTTAGGGGAAAAGATATACATCATATGTGAGAAAATATGATATGCCTTGGATCGTATTATGCCAGTGCTTTTCTAATATAAAAGATCTGTCTGCTTTTAATGTTCAACATTTTAAATTGAAACATTTTCCATCACATTTGTGCAGATGCAGCAAACATCTTTTCTGACAGAAAGGACACAGTACTTTGAAACAAGTCCAGCAATAAGAATACTTGAGGACAGATTCTGGCCCTGCTCTGCCCCTTCTGCGGCTCTCATGGTACAGAGGAGCTAGAGAGCTGATGGGGAATTTCCTTTGTGTAGAAGCAGCATAAAACCGAGGTAAACAGCCAGACACTGACCCCTTTGCAAGCGACCTCAGTGTAGGCAGCAGGCTGGAGACAGAGAGCCCATTTTTTCTCAGTACTGCAAAGCAACCAATAGGTATCTCGAGAAAGGTTGCAATAAGATAGAGGAGTCCTACAGGCTGTTCCTCCTTAGAGTGGGGGTGTTTCAGTCATTGCAGCAGTCTCACTGCCCTCACAGCCACCTCTTCTGTGTTGCTTCTCTCAGGAGGTACAGCACCCTTTAGCCACTAGCATTAAAGTCCTAAAGCACTGGCCATTGAAATCAGGGTCTTTCCAATGCCTTCACTAGGCTTCCCATTACATTACTACAGTAGGCACAAACCTCAAATCGCATCCTCTACAGCCCCCCTGTGACATGGGCAGGGAATGCTATTATCTTTGTCATATAGACACAGAACAGCATCATGGACTAGTGGAGTGTTTTATGTAAGACCATAGAGCAAGACACCACAGACTCTGGGACAAGCTTCAGGCATTCACTGCACATAGCCCTGGTCTCAGCTTACAAGACGCATTAAACCAAACAGCGACATGACAGGACTAAGATCCTTTTACTCTTGTTTTTACAATTTCTCATTAGTGTTCTCTAAGTTAAGTGGCTGAAGCTGATGGCTTCTCGTCTGTAGGACCAGATTCAGACTGCCTTACTCATGCTAATTGTAGCCTGACCAAGATCCAGATTGTCAACCATTTACTTCTGTTGAGTGGTACTTTGGTCCAGATTAGGATATGGATGTATGGACAATTTATTGCATAGCAAAATAGAATGGGGTTTTACATTATATCAGCTGCTCCTCAGCAACTGCATATGTACATGCTCTCATCCTATGATAACAAGTAACTAAACTACATGAACTCATTTCTCTTTCATCAAGGGCTATACTACTACAGTTTATCTTCAGCGTATTGTGGGGTAAGAACATGCATATGGGCAGCTACTGATAAATGGTAAAGCCATATCCATTTTTTACTCCACAGTAAATTGTTTATATATACATATCATAGGGTATATTAATAACTAAGGATATCATAATGTGCCTCCTGAGTGAGAAGCCCTATGAAATCTTGGGATGGTTTGAGCAATAAATTAGCCCCAAGAATGCCTCCATGCAGAAGCCTTTTCCCAATGGCTGAGAGACTGCAGAGCCATTCATCTCTAGTCATTTAGCTCAGTAGGCAACCTCCTCCCCACCCTGGGAAAGCACTTCTGTGTTTGAAGGGTCTTTTTCAGCTTTCAGCCCAGGAAATACATCAGTGTCTGTAGAGGAAACCCCTCTTCAGATTGTAAGAGCCAGCAAGCTGTCACTTTGTTTGCCCTTCTCTCTTGTTTAGTCTATGCTTTCATCGGGGTGCCCCTATGAACTTCCTGGTTCCAGTTACAGCTTGATTGTAAAATGCATTTCACTCCACACAGGAGGTGAGACTGAAGTCACAGTATGTCTGCTGAGACATAGTAAAGAATGGTTATAGTTCACAGTGAATTATTTTCAATAGAGAAATTCCATGCTGGTGAGTCTGGACACAGATTACGACATGGGACATTGAAGAGAGAGCTTCCATTCCTCTTCTTTTTTTGCATGTAGCTGACATACACTTGTTGAGGCCTGTGCAGTCCATGCATCCACTTCTACCAATGAGTATCGTGTCAGCAGGATCTTATTTCTAATATGGAAATGCCGAGAACCTGACAGCATCAGAGTTAACACTGGCCACTCTTGCTTGACACATACTGAGATAAATTTATATAACTCCACTGAAAGTCCTCTCACTTTGACCCCACTATCTGTCTATATAGTTTTGATTTATTCTTTCTAATATCTCTACAACCCAATTTTCCTGATTATTTTCAAAGCAGAAACCCTTCTTCATGTGCAAATCATCTCTGCTCTCAGTTACTCCTCTTGGCCTTGATTTAGCAAAGCAAGAGCTACTACAGGAAAATAAGTACACTTAATTTTAAGCATGTGCTTAAACCATATTGACATCTATTGGACAAAAGCATGTATGCAAGTGTTGGGGCCTCTTGCTACATCACATTCAAGTTCTTTGTCTTCAATTACAAGGCTCTACACAAGCTTACCTCCATCTATCTTGCCTTGCAGACTCTAAAAATCCTACGACCAAAAGCTACTATAAAACACTTCAGTGGAAAGGACAATTATTTCTGGAAAAAACTTGTGAGATGCTTTTTGACTAGCTATTGACATTTTTGTAAGATTAGGATGGTTACAGTGATTGTTTTACCTAGAGGGGGCTGTGTCTCAATAAGTAAGCTGTGTTTTAGGCATGGCTTTTGTTTTGGATTCATTGCAATGAAAAGACACTACACATTGCTGTAAGAGCATTTTCATCATTGTAGGAGAAACAAATTTTAGAACACTTAATCAGTTCCAGGTCCATGGGTAGGCTTCACTTCCAGGTAATTACTCACCCTTGTACTTTGCAATACTAGAAATTCTTATTTCCAAACCCAGCTTCATGCAACTGCAGGAATTATGACAAGCGCAACACTGGCCATTAGAGAGCGAAGCTGTATTCACTGTAGTTGTAGTACTTTCTGCTTGGGTGTTTTAGCACTGACTTTTCCCTGCCCCCACCAAGTGTCATTCTTGGAATGTATAGAAGCTCTAACCAGTTTGATATATGTGCTGTATAAGAAATTACTTCTTTTTGCCCTTTGCTCCTTTGCCAGGCTTTTCTTTCCCCTTTTCTTTTTCTTTCTTTTCTTTCTTCCCTTTTTTCATCAGTTTTTGAAGCTCAGCAAAAGTCCCACATCCCTTCCTCACCATTAGCCCACGCCACCAGGCCTGGATCTGGAAAAGAGGGCATAATTACCTTAAGAAGGGGGCAAAACAAGGAGACACTGAATAATATGGCTGTGATTAGCAATATGCCAATAGGACCACATTGGGAGTAAACCTGTGTTAAATGCATGCTTCAACCAAACTCATGGAAGCTAAAAACTGTGCTTGCCTTATTCTTGGTTGAACCTTAGGTTGCACCATGATAATATGATTATTCTTAATAATACTGCACCCACAAAGCTACAAAAATTCACTGCTTTTAAGATGTTTCTGGGCTTTGCCAGGCATGCCCTGTAGAATGTTTCATAAAATAGCAGTTCATTGCTAAAGGGGCAAGTTTAGATGTGTATCATGGTGGAACCTTTAAAGCTTTTACCTTTGTGGCCTTCAGATTTTGTTCCCTTTTTTCCTTCAAATACTTCCATATAGCCAGCTTCCCCTGGTTACACACTTCAATTGGAGGGTCCATCATTGGGTTTCCATCCAGCAGGACAAGCTGCAGCTTCTGAAGACTGTCCAGATTCCCTGGGAGTTGAAACAACTGATTGTTCTGGACCAGCAATTCCTGCAAACCTGAACACACAAAACAACATAGGTGCAATGCATATAAGGATGATTTAAAATACCCCAATGTCCTTACAGTAAAACAGTGTATGGGTAGGAGAAAACTCATTGTTTTACATGCATTTGGATAGTTCTAGATATAGTTTATGCCAATCAAGACATTTCACTTTATGATACAAAGTTTCTAGCTCCAAATCTGGAGAGATCTGGGCAAGACTTTACTAAAAATACTGTAAGTTTATTGAACTTTGTGATTGTAATTTTTGTTTTGTTTTTTTGTAAAAAGGGAATAACATAAAAAAGGGTGTTATTGCTATTGTGCCTTCTGCTTCCTCCTCATTGAGCTGTTGGTCTCTGATTCAGGGTCAATGAACAAATATAAAACTCTTTCCTGCAAAACAGGAAGAGATTGAGAAACCTCAGATAAAAATGCATCTGCTCCCTGTAATGGCATACTTCTGAGCAGGCCACTAGCAATGGGAATTAAAGCTGAGACCTTTGGGACTGAAAGCATATGCTTGCCTGCCCTGCATCTGCTAGCCAAGGCTGTAGCAAGCACATTCATCACTAGAGGGGGACAGAGTACCATAGTGGGCATGTCTACAGAAAACTCTACTGCACAGCAAACTAATTTGCTGCATAGTAAAGCATCACCGTCTACACATGCACAGCAATTAGGGTGCAGTAGACTAATTTACTGCACAGCCAGATAGTTTCATCAGATACAAGTGGTATTCAGCAGCACAGTAAATTACTAAGCTTAAATGCATGTGTAGACAGCAAGGTCAGGATTAGTTTACTCTGGCTCAAATTGAGCTGGTGTATATTCAGTTCCATTAACTGCACATGTAGATGCCCTCTCTGAGTGGGTTTGAGTTAAATATACACCACCTATGCAATGAACCTGCAGCTTTGCCAAAGAAAATCATTCTCAGGTGAGCTGTATGAAGTCTCAAAATACCTTCTTCATCAGGAATTGCCAGAAACTGTTGGTTTTGCTACTTAACTTTTCACAGAAGTAAGTTACATTGAAAGTTATGCGGCAGAGAAACAGACTGACAGACACAAAAGAACACGTATCCTAAGCACGACACAAATCCCACGTCAAGTAGGCCAGGGTAGGTTTCAGAATGGGTGACAGGAGGAAGATTTTAAACTTCAAAAACCCCTGCAAACTTGTGCCCTTGCATAAGCATGGAATGTTTCTTTCACCTTGTAGTTGGCATATGGAGTCTGGGAGCTCTTGAAGGAGGTTGTTGTGACAGTTCAGAATTTCTAGGTGGGTCAGCAGGCCGATGGATGGTGGCAGGCACTCTACGCAATTGTTCTCCAGGTGTAACTCTTTCAGATTCTGAAAACGTGTACACATATTTGCATTATTTTTTGTAAATAAAGGATTTTCCCCCACAGGACGATATATGAACAATGAAAAACAGAATACTGGTAAGCGTAGAATACTGGGGACAACACTGACACTGTGCTGCTGCTGCTGGGAACTGTGGAGAACTTAGATACTATGCAGATGAGTTCTTTGGTAGCTCAGACTGATAGAATGGGGCTGCATAACATGGTCTGTATGTTGCACTTTTGAGATACGTTATCAGGACTTGAGGATTTACTTTTTTTGCCATCACTCAGAACCATACATTGTAATCTGTGGGCCCCCTTCAGCACTTCTGAAATTTTCTCAGTCTGAAATGCTTGCTCAGTAGGCAAGCAGAATGAAGGGCAGATAGGACAGCCACCAGCAACTGTAATGTGCCATAGGCTTGGTGGAAAGTGGGCAAGCAGTAAAATATGGCTTAACTATACTGGAAAGAAAGCACAATTGTAGTACATAAAATTTTGAGCCCATCAACTTTGATGATATGCCCTTGTTGCAAATGTTTAGCCCAGTCCTGGGAGCCTTTTCTGTCCTCCTGTTGCAAGAAGGTTCTCAGTGTTTTTCAGTATCAGGCCCTGTGTGCAGAACTCTCTTGAGATCTGTGGATGATCCTGCAAGACTGGGTTTTATTTTTTTCAGGCAGTCTAAGTTTTGTATGCTACTTTGTCATATCAAGCAGAATTATTACTAAGATCCATCCACTTCTATTTTTCCTACCTGTAGTTTGCTGATATCTTCTGGTAAACTGGTGAATTTGATTCCTTTATCTTGTCCCAGATATAATCTCTCTAATGATTCGAGGAGAAAGATTTCCTTAGGAAAGACACTGAATTTGTTTCCAGTCAGACCAAGGCATTTTAGTTTGGAGAGTCTTGCAACCTGCAGAGGTATCTAGACATATTCCAAAACAACTATTAAAACGTTATGTTATATTGGTAAAAAGGCAATATTCTGTCTGATATTTTAGAAAATACATTGATCCATTGTTATATATCAAAGCAGAATATTAAACTAGATATAATGTCATAATATCATATAGAGTGTGTAACAAATTCTATACTGTACTCCCTTCCTGAATTGCTTCTCACCTAGTTAATTTTACTTAAATAAAGCCACATGGTCTTTGCCAAAAGCATTCGTCTGGAATATAATATTTAGGGAGGGCCTGCTTCTGTATTCCCTCACAAACTATCTGTATATTGAAGGACAATTTACATGAATGAGACCCTTAAAGTGACTCATTTGTTTAAATTACTGTTCCCACAAATTTAACCTTTAATGTTAAAAACAGCACAAATCAAGATCTGAGACAAGAGATCTTTAGTATCTCATCATTCCTATTGAAAACACCAGTTACCATTTCGCTGTGCTGGTTTTCTTTTTGATGTTTGCATATGCAGCTATCAGTAGTAACTGGTTACAGCTATGAAACGATGAAACAATGAGGGACCTCAGCCATAGTTCAAAACCATTTTTGGTCTGGTGCTGCACAGAGATAAAAAAGATGGGCTCTGTCCCAAAGATCATATGCATATTGTCTCCAAAGTTTGCAGAGTCCAGTAGTTTAAAATGGGACATTTGAGAAACAAATCAGTCTGTGAAGTTGTCTTGATACAACATCTCATTCTAAAGATAAAGAAACCAGTACCTTGCAAATTTGATTGTCATCCAGTGACAATACTTCCAGGTTGCTCATAGGACAAATCTGTTTGGGAAATGCATCAAATTGATTTTCACTCAGATCTAGTATCTTCATCTCAGTTAACTTGGCAAAAGAAGCAGGTAGCACTTGCAAGCCAGTGTTTTTCAGGTAAATGAGGCAAAGAGACGGCCAATGGCAAATCTGACGTGGAAACTTTTCTAGGCTATTACCTGAGAGCCCAAGCTCGCTCATTTCAGTGAACTCCTTGAAGCTTGGTGGGAGCCTGTGCAGGAGGTTATTGGACAAATCAAGCACAGACAGTTTTTGACAGTGATGCAGCATATCAGGGACTGATGACAAGTTGTTATGAGCTAAAAATAGTTTAACCAAGTTTATCAAAGAGGCAACCTCTTCTGGGATGAAACTCACAAGGTTTTGTTCCAGATCTATTATTTCCAGGTTAAGAAGGTGGCACAGCTCTATGGGAAAGCTCTCAAATATGTTTTTTTGTAAGTAGATCTCTCTCAGTTTTCTGAGGTTCACTATTTCCTTAGGCAGACACCTCAGCTGGTTGCCAGAAAGGCCAAGGAGCTCCACGTGATGGAGGCATTTGCAAATCTGCACTGGAAATTCATCCAAGTTCACATCATAGAGCCTGAGCTGACGAAGAGCCTGCAGTTTGCTAATGACATGCAGCGAATTGTGAGACAGTGGATTGCTGCTTAAATCTAAGCTTTGGAGACACTTCAGCTCCCCAAGTTCTTCACATATGGCCTGTATGTTGTTCTTGTTCAGGTAGAGGACTTTCACATTCTTGAGGCGATGGATCTCTCCTGGGATACTTTCAATCAAGTTTCCTTCCAAGTGTAATTCTTCCAGATCTCCCAGGCAGAACACTTCTGAGGGGATCGTCGTCTGCTGCTGATTGCCTAAATCGAGAAAGAAGAGTCTACCTGCGACCTGCACGGGTGGGACAGCTTCCTTCTCTGGCTTCCCATCCTCTTGCCCGTGCCTTGAAATCTGCAAGCAAACGTCCCCAAGACTTTCCGTTCTCGCTTTTGAGAAATGAACATCCAGCGCGTCATCACACCCGCTTCGCTGCAGCTCAACCATCTGTGCTGCCTCGTTTTAGCTCTGAAAGCGAAAAGAAATAAGCAGTACTTACATGTGAGCCCACTCAAACAGCATCATATAAATACATGAGCAGAATCTGCCTTCCTCTGAGGTATTAGGGTGCCGGCCAGCGCTAAAGCGGAGGTGGGGGGTGGGGTTTGATGGGGCTGAGAAAAAGCCCCTGCTCATACTCAGCGGACTCAGGGGTTCTTGCTCTTCCAGTCGAGACGGACCCATTGCCAAATTTGGAGTCAAGGAGGATTTTTACCCCATCGGTCAGATCAGCAAGGGCAGGAGGAGGGGAAGGGGTCAGGATAGTCCCTTCTCTCAGCTGCACCCAGACAACGAAATTGGACATCTTTCACCCACAGCAATAGCTGGGCTCGGCGTCCAGGAGGTCGCAGGGTGGCTTGCAATGGACGACGCGCCACACGCTCCGGGTGCGGGCCAGTGGAGACCAACCCCTGCTTCATACAGGGGCGCAGGGCCAGCCCATTAACTCTTCCCAGCTGCAATAAGGATAACTGCAAGCGGCTCTGACAGCAACTGAAGAACATGTGCAGCGTGGCACGGGCGGGCTCATCCCCAGCTGTCGGGGACGTGCGGAAACCGCCTCTAGGGCACGGTCACGGCTGCTGCTGAAGGGCAGGGCAGTCTCCCTCAGGCAGGTTTGGGAGGCCCCGGCTCGTCCCCGGGGCGGCGACACCCTGCGCCCAGGCCCCGGGGCGGCCGCGTGGAGCGCGGG